AAAAAAAAAAAAAAAGAAAGAAAAAAGAATAAATAATTCGGTGTATAATTGACTAGAGACTTAAGAGTGATATTGTCTTATACAGTGTTCTGTAAGATTAATGATTGGAAAATGGTCCATTTTCAAAGAGTGGCCCAGGCAATTTTGGTTAAACATCATATATATTAACAGAAAAATGTGACACCTGGTTGATAATCAGAGTTGACTGAAAACTAGTAGTGGCCCTAGAGTCTGTCTCCTCTTTGCCTTGTTGGACAGAGCTGTCCCTGTAAGGCAGGTATGAAGTTTGGCATGGAGTGGTCCTGATGGGCGGGATGGCCTCACATGGCCAGATGGAAGCAGAGGCTGAGTGGTTACCCGGGGTGGAAAGAGAAGAATGTTTTCATGAGTCTCAGAGGCTGGGTCTGTACTCTGTCCTCTTCAAGATACATGTCAGTGACGTTAATGACATCGCAGAAAGGATGTCATATTGTATCACTTCGTGAATGGTCTAAGAACTCAAAGCAGTAGACTTTCACACTTCCCCTAGTGGATGTTATGCTGTGGTTTGTTGTATGTTTTACTTTTACGTATCTCATAAATGCTAGACTCTATCTCACTTTTATTTAAATAGTCAATTACAACCTACAGAGAGTTAACTAACACAAATATCTTCTCTTATTTTACCTATGTGATTGCACTGGTGTTTTTTACTTTTTGTGTAGATCCCTATTTCCATCTGGTATCATTTTCCTTCTACCTAAAGGACGTCCTTTAGTATTTCTTGTATTGCAGGTCTGCTATTGATGGACTCTTTCAGCTTTTTTTTTTTTTTTTTTTAAGTATTCAGGTTCATTTTAAGAAGGATACCTTTGCTAGGTGTAGAATTCGAGGTCGACAGAACTTTATTTAAAGATGTTGCCCCTCTGTCTTCTTGCTTGCATTGTTCCCAGCACTGCCTCTGCTGTAACCGCTGCCTTTCTTCCTCTGACATTTCTCTGACTGCTTCTCAGATTTTCTCTTGATTACTGGTTTGAGCAATTTGGTATACCAGCTGGGCACAGTGGCTCTCGCCTATGATCCTAGCACTTTGGAAGGCCGAGGTGGGCAGATGACCCGAGGTCAGGAGTTCAAGACCAGCCTGGCCAACATGGTGAAACCCCATCTCTACTAAAAATACAAAAAAGTTAGCTGGGTGTGATGGTGGGCGCCTGTAATTCCAGCTACTTGGGAGACTGAGGCAGGAGAATCGCTTCAACCCAGGAGATAGAGGTTTCAATGAGCTGAGATCATGCCCCTGCACTGCAACCTGAGTGACAGAGCAAGACTCCGTCTCAAAAAAAAAAAAAAAAAAAAATTTATTGTATACCTTGCTGTCGTTGCTATCATATTTCTTATGCTTGGGGTTCATGAATGTTCTTCATTTGTATCTTTCTTACGTCAAATAGTCATTATGTCTACAAATATTTTTTCTGCACCAATCTCTTTTTCCTCTCCTTTTAGAGATTCTCATAAAACAAATGTCAGATATTTTGATATTGTCCCAAAAGTCCCTGAGGCTCTGTTCATTTTTTCAGCCTTTTGGTCTTGCTGTTCTTTAGATTAATGATTCTACTGATCTGTCTGTATGCTCGTTCTCTTCTATCAATCTGCCTTCTGCTATTGAGCCCATCCAGTGAGTATTTTATTTATTTTATACATATATATATATATATATATATACACACATATATATACATATATACATACACATATATATATACATATATATATATACATATATATATATACATATATATATATATA